AGGCAGGAGGGTCACTTGAGTCCAAGAGTTTGAGGTTGCAGTAAGCTATGATGATGCCATTGCACTGTAGCCTGGGTGACAGAGCAAGACTCTTATCTCAAAAAAAAATTAAGAAAAAAGAAAAAAATGATAGTGGAAGTTTAAAAATACTAAAAACTGAATGATAATGAAAATACTACCTACCATGTTCTGTAAGATGCAGTTAAAGTGGTTCTTAAAGGGCAATTTATTAATATTAATTTAAATGCTCATTTTAGACAAGAAGAAAAGTTGAAAATTAGCGAGCTATGTGTTCAATTTAAGAAATTAGGAGAAAAAGCCAATATAAAAAAAAAGAAGAAGAAAGAAAACCAAAGTAGAAGGAAGCAGATAGTAAGATAAAAGCAGAAGTTCAGGAAAAAGTAAACAAATATACAAAAGAGAGAATCCACATAATTAAAAGTTTTCTTTTATAAATAAAGAAATCTCTGCTGAGATTGAGAAAGAAAAAATAAAGAGAAAGCACAAATAAGCAATATTAGGATTGAAAGGGACATAATGAAAGACCAGGCAAGGTGTTTTTAAAAATGAGCTACTTTAAATTAATTTAGACCAAACATTTGAAAACTTAGGTGAAATGAACAAATTCCTAGAAAAATACAATTTACAAAAACATACTCAAAAATAGAGAACCTGAATCGTCTTATAAGTACTAAAGAAATGCAATCAATATATTTAAATCTTACCACAAAGAAAATAATTTAGTTCAGATATTTTTACAAATGACTTATACCAGGCTTTCAAGGAAGAAATCATTCCAATCTTTAAAACTGTCTCAGAAAACAGAAAAACAGGGACTATGACACAACTTATTCTATGATATTACTATAAAATTGATATCAAAACCAAAGAAAAACAGTACAATAAAGAAACTTTTTGGGCCGGGCGCAGTGGCTCACACCTGTAATCCTAGCTCTCTGGGAGGCCGAGGCGGGCGGATTGTTTGAGCTCAGGAGTTCGAAACCAGCCTGAGCAAGAGCGAGACCCC